AGAGTTTTCACTTTKATTCTTGTTCTGCTTTCGACAGGTAAGTTTCAGTGGTATTTAGTACACGTTTACAAAGCAAATTTCTTGTAGAAAGATTGCAGAAAACAATCGCATATAAGAGCTGTTCTTAAAATATTCTTTTATTTTTGTCTGCAAATGATCCCTTGTGAAAGGTTGATTTCCTATTGGTTCAAAATCTAAGATGACGAATGTTCGTATGTGGTATAACTGCGCAAAGTTTCTTGGGTGAAAATGGGGCCTTACTCATTTATTATTGTTTTTAGCCAGGAAATTCTAATAAGAATAAGTCAATAAATATAATAAAGGCACTCACCTATTTAAATTAATTTATCTTTTCCAAGATTTACTTTTAACGTTCGCTGCAAAACTTGGAAGAAATGAAGATGATAGATTTACTTCAGAAGAGTCAGGATGGGAGCCCGACATCAATAGTGGCAGCGGTTTAAGCGAGGAAAAAGTCGGCGACTCACAAGCCGGTATAGTCATTGTAGGAAATAGCCCTATCAAGCCCATRGCTCCGTCTAGCTTGAACAGTATTTCGACACGAAGTATCATCCCAATTAGTCCTGGAAATAGTATGCCAGTAAAAGCAACAGAAGGGGCTCAATCTTCCTTCATTCCTGCAGTTGGAGCTTCAGCGTCGCCGGTAGTACCACCACAATTACCATCATCTTCAATRGGATCTTCACAGTTGCCTCAACCACCGCCAGTTCCACTGCCGTCGATATCGAAGCCAGCTATTCCGATATCCCAGCCGTCCCCTTCTTTACGCATGGGTTTATCTACTCARCCAGCTAAAGAGTCACCRTCATCTCAACTTTTGCAGCCTTCGGTTTCTGCACCTCAAATGAAACCGCATACAGTGCCATCCGTTTCGCAGCCACCAGCTGGAGCTCAGAATCTCAAGCCTGYATCWTCTATCTCGGTTGTTTACAACCCRAGTGAACCGGTGTCCCCACCTGTCGGACAAAACAGGCCGACACTTGTGGTCAACCCTAACCAGTCAACCATGTTGKCCAAAACCGCAGTTTCTGCAATTGAATCATTAGTTCCTAACACGCCTTTCAGTGCAAAGCCGTACACCAAAGTGGCCCAACCAGCGCAATCGCTCAAGATTGTTCCCAGTGTTGCATTTTCTAAAGTGAGCGGTGTAGTGAAGTCATCATCGTACGCAAAAGTGCCTCAAGTTGCTTCATCTGTCTCAGTTCTTCCCAATCCTTCTCTTCTCTCCCAAGTTAAAATTTCTCCAAAGTCATCACAAGTAACTGCGCCTCAGGTGACGACCCAAGTTCTGTCCAGTAGTGTATCCCAGTCAGAATTCAACCACGAGGGTCATCCAAGTGCATCGATTCCACCGAAGACACGCTTTCAAAGCTTAGTCGAAGGCAGCGAAAAYAAGAACACAGAGAATGGTATCAGTGACAAAAAGTTGTCAAGCAAAGATTCGTTAAATGYTGAAGGRTCAACAAACATTGTTGATATAACACAAGGAAGTGGATCTGGATTTGGTGAAGGAATAACAGCCGAAGAGCAGCACATCGCGACCGCACTTGCCCAAGACTCTAGAAGAAAGACAAACAGTAAGCAATCAGAACAGGATCCAGCGAAAATGATCAATAATAAGGGGTGTTACTAAAAGGCGAAACGGCGAAACGGCGAAACGACGAAACAGCGAAACAAAGAAACAGCGAAACAATACAACTACCACAATGTACCACACATGATCCCTGGATTTCATTTTTGCCTATTTCGAGTTTTAATAAAAGAAAACGGGCTATTTTTTTTAAACATTGGCGCATCGGGCATGTTAGTAATCTGTCATCGTCTAAAGATAACAGTCTCTGCAACACACAACGTTCTGTCACGCCATTTGAATCCACTCAGTTCACATACGAGTAGCATCTCCAAC